GTACTACAGTAGGAGCATTGCTGTAGAGGAAGGGAAACCTGACTGGCACGGGGGAAAATTCTTCATTTAGAAACCTGATTTGGATTCTTTTTAAAGTCAGAAGCAACAACAACCAGGCCTGACAAGATTTTGGCACCCTCTCTTTGTGCTTATGAGGGTGTTACAGCCACATGTATACTTACAGAGACTTATTTCAAATATGAATGACTGATTTTATACTTGGGACTAATAAACATAAAATAATGATTTTTTTTATATGTACCACACACAGTATCTGTGCCTTTCCTAGCAGTTATAGCACACTGTTTTGCCTGTAACTGTCTGTGTCTGTAAGCAAAGCCTCGTGCTGAAGAACATGAACAATTATGTTTTATTGAGCAATTACTTTTATTGACATTTTGTAGGAGGCCTCTATCAAACGTAGGCATGAGATAAGAAGGCCGTTGTGTAGGTAAAAACTAATGCAAAGCATGAACATTGTTCAGATCACATGGAAATGTCCTTAGTTTACATAGAGCACACTACAATGCTCTTTCTAAATGTGCTGGTTTGGGTGGTGCTGAGCTTCTGTGCTGTTAACCTTTATTATGTCGGCTATTATGGTGACCTACATACTACTGTGAATAATTTTACCCAAGTGTAAAAGAGGTTTGGAGCACAGTCTTATAGCATATGGTATTATTTTTTTTTTTTTTTAGTTCAAATATATGCCAAAATGAGTCTGGTTCTGAAAGCTGTATAGAGATTTTTATACCTAGTTCTCTATTTTGGCTGTAATAATTCACCTCAAAAGTAAATAACCCTAAGTATTTTGATACTAAATTTATTTTATTCCTGGTATATATTTAAGGTTCCCCATTTTGAAGAACACCTACATTTCATGTGTCCATTCTTTAAAAATGTAAAATTCATTTGTGCCAAAATGAGATGAGCCTCATTCAGAGTAGGGATTTCTGTACAGGCAAACCACTTGTTAGTATCTCTAGTTCATGCAAAAAAAGCTAGAAACTCTGAAAAACTCTGAAAAAAACTCCAACAAATAAGCTAAAAACATGGCACAGTCATGACAGTTGGCCCCTTCTCTTGCTTGTAATCCCCCTTGTTAGGGTGAATATCCCACACATTCAGAGGCAGATAAAATAAATAAAGACACAGAGACTATACAGAACCTAAAAGATTTACAATAGCACACCACCCTTGTGCAATAATTTCAATATGATATATACAGAGACTACACTTTCACAGTTTTACTGATTACAAGTTCATCTGTTACCTGCTCCTTTTTCTTTTCTTGTTTTTTTGAAAATACACATAATTAAAATGTTCTGTATAAACTATGTTCATCTCTTATAGGAAAATAGGTAGAATAACCTTTCTCTCATCTACTAATCACATTGCAAACCAAATACCATTTTGATTTCAGGTACCTAACAAAAAAAAAAACCCTTCTTTTTAAATTGCATGTTTCATCAGTTGAATAATATATTACAACAAAGGAAAGGGAAACAGCAACATTTTAAAAGCTCAAGTGACTTTTTACTAACAATTGTGAAGAATAGCAAAGTTATTATTCATAAATGAATCATTAGTCACCAGCTGTACAACACTAACCCTGACAGAGCAGGAACCAACAGAAGAGAAAGCTCAGCAATGGTTCTTAGACTAACCAAATGGCTTATCAACTTCTGATTTCTTGGTGTTTGCTTCTCTTTCATTTCATTTGAAAATGCCTACTGAGGGATGGGCAGGTGTCTACAGTGTCTCAGAGATGCATGGAGGCTCATGCATCCAGAAAGTGAAAAAAGTAGAACCTCAACTCTAAGCCATCTATTTTCAGTAGATGCAGCTCACATGAGAAAAAGGTGGAGAGATATACTGGTGACCTGGACTAAATGAAAAAGTGCAATTTGAGCTATGAAAAATTATTCTAATAACCAGGGTTGATTTGTGTAGCATCTGAAATTTATTACACTGTGTCATTACATTATAACTGCTGTGGTGAATTTAATTTCTGTGTTAGTTACTGGCTTTTTCTGGAAAGCAATAAGGTTTTTATCATTCTGTGGATGATAAAAATGTAGTGTGCTTAGGTACATTTTTTACGTTAGCAGCAACTCCTTTTTCCCCTTGAACCAAGATAGGAAGTTATGAATTAAGGAAAATGATTTTGTGAGAAGGAAACCTAAAATTATGCTTTACAAAAACCCTCTGATGAAAAAACCCCTACATGATTGATAGATACGGAGCTGAAGATCAGTGCCCTGAGAGCACTAATGGGCATTAATGGCCCTGAGCAGCCTCACTTGGGACCTCACTCCACCCATGAGACTGGGGGCCCTATTTCAGCTCCCATCAGGGCACCTGCCCAGGCCTGACCTGTTATAGGTGCTATGCCTTTCTGCTTATGCATCTGCAAAATTGAATAGGTTTGTCGTGACTTTATGTATTAATTCACTGAACTGTGGGACAGCACAGTAAAGAAAGATGTAGGTTTTAAAGCAGAGTGGGTTTGGGATGAACCTGTAGCCTATAGGTTGTGGATAGATAAAAAAAATATCATGTAAGCTGAAGTGCTTTAATGCTTACCTATGTGCTTTAAAATATTTTAATTAAAGTATCTGGTCAAAATACTGACACTTCAGTATCTACAGTCAGGTGTTACATTCCTAAAGGAAAAGGCTTAATTACTCTGAGCAAATGAAGGAAAGTAAGTCTTGTTGAGGTCAATAGAAATACTTCAAATATTCAGCTCCATTAGTAGTGCTGGGGAGGGAAATATGGATTTCTCCTGAGAGCTGAGCAATTTCTTCTATCTCTAAGTAGTTAACTGTGGTTTTATATGAAATACCTGTGGAACTGAAGGACAAGCTTTCATATTTAAAACATTAAGCAAGGTGGATAAAGTCCTAGATCTCACCCTACAAGAATTTTCAGTGAAGGTTGTACTCAAAGAGAGTTTTCTGTAGGTCACCATGCATCTCTGTGGGAATGGGATTTGGTCTCAGTTTGTATGTTGAGTTACTTTGGAGTAACTGGGCCAGGTGACCTTTCTGGGAGAGTGGGAAGCTTTTGTATGCTTGTGGGAGAGCTTGTTGGGTGCTGGTAGAGAGTGGGATAGAGACTTCAAAGACCTGGGAGCTCAAGGTCTGAGGGGAGAGGGACAAATAGAGCCAGCCAGCTCAGAGACTGGAAACAGATGAGGGACCATTAGGGGTGATAAAACCATAGTGACCTTATGAGGTCTTGTTATAAGTCGTTGATAGCAAGGCTCTATGTATAGTTGATAGGGAGAAGACTTGCACATAAAACCTTACTGTTGCTGTCTGTCTTAGTTGCTTAGATTATTTTGCAAAGATATTTATTCTAGTATAATCTAGTGAGATATGGCTTTTTTTTTTTTTTTTTTTTTTTTTTTAAGCCTTTTGATGGTTTATGGGAATTTACTGTAGGAAAAAAAAACGGTCTAGGCAGATCTAGTTCAAAGCCATTGCTGATGTGGTATCCTGCTGCAGACGAACTAATAGAAATCTGGATGCATAAAATACATGGTTGTTTTGTAATATTTGCAAAGGTTTGGAAAATGTGTATCATATTCTATGATCAATTTTCAGAAAGCTAGTTATAGCTAGATTGAGAGAATATCTCCCTTTAAATCTATGTTGTAACTTGATGTCCTTTTTGGAACAGTCCTAGTTCTCTTTAGCCCTGGCTAAAAGGGTGACTGGTGTATGTATATATTTAAACTCATCTTGTTTTGCAGGCTATCTTCTAGAATGGATAAACCACCAGCATTAATTCAAGGCTGTAACTAAAATTTTGATTCATCAGTTTATTTCACTTAAAAGAAGTAAATTTTTGTCCTTCCTCCATAAGTCTCTTCCACTGTAAATCTCCTGAATATTGGTGTCCTATCTAGCAAACAGCTATAAATTTGAAAAAATAAGCTGCCGTGTTATTTTCTAAGGCCTTAAGGGTTACATGACTTTGTCTTCTATATCTAGTAGAAGATATCCTTTGTATTAAGTTCAAATTTGGTAGCTTACTGTTATTAGCAGTAGGAGAAAAGTAATTATACTTGAAAGCTGAGGATACCTGATGTGGAAATCATCTGTAGACAATAAATATAAAATGTGAAAACTGTTTTTGAGTTAAATCAACTTTAAATGTCATCATTAAGTATGTCATTGATCATTTTGTAGAACCATCTTACTAATGTGACCTATTTGGCATGAGGGATATAATTGAAAAGGCATTCTGAAAGGATAATGTTGTGGGTCTTATAACTGAAAACCAATAAATGTGTTAACTGTTTAAGGAACTTTGTTTCTTTAGTAGAAATCTTCCTCAATTAAAAGGGACAGGAAGATTTTTAAGGGGTAATATAGAAAAATTAAAGGATAAGAACAATGCAGTAAATTTTGTCTGAGTCCTGACTTTTGGAAAACAAAGTAGAACTAGTCTTTGGTGTATTCAAGTATTTTTAGTTCCTTTAAAAACATTTGGGAGCCCAGAGATGTTGTTTCTGTTTTTAGTTTTGCTTCAAACTTCCTTTTCATGGATGCTATTGGTGAATCTATGTTACCACATTTTAGTTACATAGCATTCCTATGTCAGCTTTGCACCAAAGTTTTGCCTCTTGTGAAAATACTTTGACTCTTACTATGATTTCTTGTGATTTATTATAGAAACATATATTGATTGCATACTGCACTTTGTAATAATTTTTCTGTAAGGTAGTCAAATAATTCAGTTAGAATTGGATGATGACGGTTTTGCTTCTCTTTATTTTGATGCTACCGAAACAAGTGTTGCAGCTTACTGTATATTCTATCTTTGGAATATATGTTTTGTCCTTTCGAAGTCTCCACCTGGTTTTATTATGCTTAACTGCCTGTGACATGATTTCTTCCTTAATGTTCACTCAACCCTCCAGGATTTAAGAGGCCTTTATATGCAAGTGTTATGACTACCTTCAAACCCTGACTTTATTTTCTATTTAGGTGTTGAAGATGGCTGACTTACTCAACAGTTTAGTGGAGGAAAGTATCTAGCAGCTCTCACTGAAGAATTTGTGTAATCAAATATTTGGAAAGGTCAATCCACATGTTTTTCAACCTGTGAATATAGGTTTAAGAGGTTGAATTCTGAAAATCTACATAGTGCCTGCAAAGGTACATATACATATGCATGAACATACATTAAAGATTTTGTTTTGGGATAGAAGGAAACTTTCTGAAAGCTACTGTAATGACTTGTAGAATAGTGAGTGTTAACCATTTAAGGGATAAAAATGGTCCTGGTCTGAGATGTGTTTAAGGGGAGTCTCTCCCCACTCCACTCCCTCTGTTCATATGTTTTTAAGCTTCAGTTACTGCATATACAGTGTAAAGCTTCTTTGGGAGCAAACATGTTGTGTGTAGAAACAGAAGCAAGAGGCAAATTTACTGGTAAATTACATAAAACTTTTGGAATATGTAAGAGGGGAAAAAATAAACTGCTATTGTGAAGATTTGGTCTTCGAGATGGTCATTGGATGTTTGTAAACTATGTGAGATGTGGTCTACTTTAATGACTTTACTGAATCTCAAGCTAGTGCTGTTCCTGCCAGGACGTCCATTCTGGCTGGAGCAGTTAATAAGAAATGTAAGTGCTCTACTTATCCCAAGGTCAGCTATGCTTTTGTAAACAAAAATTATTTTTGACAAGACAGAACTTAATTTGGCTAATTGTTGTATATTAAAATTGTAAATTATGCAAATTCACTTGGTTTATGACAGCTATATTTGAAGGCTGCCTTTTTCTACCTCCCTTGAGTTAATTGAGGAAGTCTGGCAGCAAAAAGCCTCTCTTAGTGACAGGTATATCTAGCAGATATTCATACCTAGTGATCTTGTACCTAAGAAGAAAATCACTCGTATTCACCAGAAATACTCATTAAAAAAACTTAAATTGGTTCCATTGTCTGAAACTTGACTGTCCCCATTGGACTGTGATGAATGCTGCTCATTACTTAGATTAAGCTTTCAGCTTTGGGAAGAGTACTACATTGTAAAATGTTTCGCATTATTAGGCAAAGAGAAGGTATTCATGTAGACAAATGGTAGAGTTTAATCAATTAGCCAGAAAAGTCTAGATGTACTACATACTGTCAGACCTGTAATAGTTTAAAATTAGTGCTGGGCATGGAAGTGTTTTCATACCCACTGGGGAGAAAAAATTATCACTGGGTGTGTTCCCTGTTAACTGAAAAAGATACTGAAATTGCATAATGTACTGCTATCCTCTTTGGGGGCTGCTTTCTTTTCAAAAGCAAAGCAGCTATCCTTGCCCATGCAATTGCCCAAGTGGTGTTCCCAGTGCTAACCCAATATGAAACATTCTGCTCTTCACTGTAGATCAGGTAATACTGAGCCAGACTGTGAGCTCTTAATTGGGCATTTAATATGAGAAATGCAGGCTATAACTTTAAATTTTATGATATGCAACAATACAGCATACAAGTTCTCTGCTGTGTCATGTAAATAAAAGAATAAATAACATAAAAGCCTGCTTATAATTTCACACACACTACTAATACTGAATAATTACTCTATAACAGCATCTTTCCTCACAGTTTTCATTTGTTATGCTTTAATTGTTAGGAATGTTTAGTGAGCTGACTCCAGAACTTGTAAGTTTTATGCAGAAGGAAAACAAGAAGAAAATCAGTGCTTTTGTTAAGAGATTTGCACTACACCATTGAAGTTACGATTGAAAGGTGAAAGAGAAAACAATGGAATAAAGTTTCAGTATTACTATACATGGCAGAAGGAAGAGGAATGGCAGAATAGCTTGTGCTGAGGCACCCTGAGCAGAAAAAAAAAATCTTAGGAATCTGAATATGTCATGTGTAGGAAATATATTTTGGTCCAACAAGAGTCAACAGATTAGAATAATGGACATTACAAGGTTGCATGTATCTTTACTTCTAAATTAGAATTAAAACAATTGATTAAAGCCAGCACGCCATGGTGGGAGAGGGAAAGTTCTTGGTTATCCATACATATTTAAGGCTTTTTTGGTGTGTTTTTTTGTATTTTTTTTTTTATTTTTTTTTTTTTTAAAACACTGATTTATTTATTTATTTATTTTTACATAAAAATTGGGGGAAACTCTGAAGCTAATGCTACTATTGTAAGTGGTAGCTACGTGTTCTTATAGAAAGATTAGTACACAGATGCATTATTTTATGTGGTTATTTGGATTCTCAATCAGTAGAGTTTTCTGCAGGTGTAGTAATTTATGTTGCTGGTTTCTAGCCTTATTAGTATTCATTCTGAACAGAAGCCTTGGCTCTTTTTAAACTCCCATTGCCCGATAATTCATCATAATTTGGCTCTGAATCACTTTGGCATAATGGACCAGACTTATCTTTGTTGTACCTCTGCTGAAGTCAGTAGAGTAAGCGTAGGGTATGCTTGGTCAAGAATACTACCCTTTATTTAAAAATAAAGTAAGCCTTGCTATACTATTAAACAACCAAAAAGCTAGAATAGGTTGAGGTGTTTTTCACTGCAACAAGAAAAACGTAGTATTGTTGGAAAATTTCAGGTAAATACAGGGAATGTATCTGAGCAAATAAGAACCCTTTGAAAAGAGAATAATTGTTTCTCAGAGACACAGCAGCTTAATACAAGAGAAGCTGTCTTTTTTGTTATATTTTAACATTCAGATTAAAAATTCTTAAAGGATCATTTTGCACAGAAAAAAACGTGTTATGCATCATAGTGTACTGAGGCATGAATTTATTAAATATGAATATATATAAAATAAAAATGGTAATTTTTTACACGTACCACTTTCTTTTAAAAATTAAAGAGTCACCTCTGTCTTTGAGATATAGCCAATTATTGTATGGTCTCAGGATGTGGTGGAGATCCATCACAAGCTTATTGAACACTGGATGCAACCCTGGAACCTAGTACGATAAAACTGGACATAGTTTTTATTTTTATTTACTTTGCAAACAGGATCCCCACATTTGAAGATGAAATAAATCTCCTGCAAGCTAGATATAAGTCCATTTATTAACCCTAGATTAGTATCTTCCTCTAAGAAGGAGGGTACTCTGTTATTGAATATTATACATGTTTGTCCAGGTTGGTTTGACTTATTCTAGAACAAAATCTGGCTACTTTGTATATACAAAATTTACGTGATCTATCATGCACCACGAATGAACTACACAGCTTTGTGAATCATTGTGCCTCATCTGAGCCAGAGTAACTGTTCATGAATGCATCCTTAACTGCACTTACAGCTGCGGATGTGCTGTAAAGCACATTAGATTAAACCTTTCATTAGCATGATTGAGTTGTAATGGCTTAACAGGTTTCCTCCCTTCAGCTAACCTTTGCTATCCATTAGTTGGGCTCATGCTTTGCCTGTCAAATTGAGACATAATGCAGTTTAGTTTCAGATTTGAGCTAAGTCATGTTATCTCACATTTAGCTCTTACGCTGAAGATTGAGCTAAATTATGTTATCTCATAACTGAAGTGGGCTAAAAGCATGCAGGCAGATGGCTACTTCAGCTTGGCAGCATAACCCATTAAGATCATGATAACTTGCTTGTGTCTGAGCCAGGAGTGCGCTCTCTATTAGTTCTACTGCTGTTGCAAAAGGAAAAAAATTAAAAAGAGGGTTGTGGAATTGGAACAGCAGTTAGGACAGTGGTGTGGCAGCAGTTTGCAGATGAATAAAATAATAGGCCTCAATAAGGATTTCCAGAAATGTCATCTTTCTATGTACAGAGCTCCAAGGTGACCTCTTTCCTTAAAGTTGTGCTCTTTGCATTTTAGAGGGTTTTTTCTTTTTTGATTTTTTTTTTTTAAAAAAAAAAAAAAAGGGAGAGGGAGCAGAACAGATGGGGCAGTTACAATAATAATGCTGCCTTACTAGGGTACCCTGTCAAAAGAGCGTATTAAAATGTTGTGCAGAGAACAGACGGTTTAAAAACCTTGAAGGAATGGAACTGGAGAGTCTAGTAACGAAAAAACTGGAGGAGAATGATAGTCTTTATTCAACTGGATCTCAGAGCTGCCAATTTCTGTAACAGCAGTAAGCTTGAAATATATGCACATACTTGCCTGAGCTTCAGGATACATTTTTTATCATTAATAACCTTAGTACCTAGCCAAAAGTTTTCTGCCAACATTTGCTAGATTTCAAAGGCCAACTCAAGGTATTTCTCCTTCAATAAAGAACAGTAAGAGTATCCTTAACCAGCTGACCTGCCTGAAGAGATTATTAGAAAATTTGTCCTTTTGCCCACTTCTCTCTATTTTTGACTCCTTACTGCAACAGAACAGAACAAATAATATCACAAACCCAAACTTTTATTTTCTGAAAACGTTACTTGTTATCTTGAAGGCTAGTTCAGGTGCTTCTTACTCCTTTGGCTCCTTGGCCATGCTGCATCTCCTATGAGATGCTGATTTCCTCTCAAGCTGGCATTACAGATAGGTATTCCAGGTGGGAATCCTAGCATGTGAATGAAAATAGGATCACAGGTACCTTTGTGTCTTTAATGGCATCATGTTATTTTGGCATCCTTGTATTTTTGTTTTTGACAGTCAGCTCTTCTGTGGTTGGAGTTTATGGTGAAAGAAAACTGAAGTGACATCTTTTGGAAGCCCCAGTTCAACTTCACCGTCTTGTTACCAGGTATTAAAGGCATCATCTAATAGCTAGACCAGGGATTCAGTGTGTGTCTGTAATATTTGTCTATAATTAAGACAAGTGCTAACTTGGTAATGTTGAGTAAATTGGTCTCTTTCTGACATTTAGAAAACTGGCAAATGAAACCCCCATGACACTACATCACATTTTTATATTTTTTTAATTAATTAATATTAACTGAAGCAATTTGGAGTACTGTAATAAAAAGTGGTAGTGCCAAGTATTTCCTATAAACTTAATCAATTTTGGAAAATAATGCTTGCTGTGGATGAAATGAAAGAATTTAGAGATTAACTTTTATGTTGCAAAATATTCCTAGTGCAAATGAGAACAAGTTTATGCTTTCCATGAAAGCTGCTATGCAGTTATTGTGCATGGAAAGTATGTGCCAGGATTACTTCAAAATGAGTAAGATTAAAACATACAATTTAAAGAAGAGACATGAGATAATGTGCATTAGTAAATTTATAAATTCAAGTCATCTGTATGCTCCTGAGACACGCAGGGGTGGGATGGAAATCAATTTCTCTGCACAAAATAGGCTTCCCTACAAATGACAACATATGAACTATGGTAATATCAATGTATTGTATACATTTCTCCACCCCGTCTCCTTTTGTTTCGTAATAGCCTAGCTTTTGGGGATGTGATAGAGCACTTGCAAGTACTTATAAACCTATGAGAAGGTCAATGATGTGTACAATGGTTTTAATGAACTTTCAAGGAAATTTCATAGTGATGTTTCTTTTGGATGTGATGAGTTGCTTCATCTAAGGGTTATGCGAAGGATGGTTGAAAAGGTGTTGTTTATTGCCATATATTTGCCACTGTGGCTTATTTTACTGTTTAAAATTTTAATTGGATAAGAATTCAGGGCTGCTCATGCATTTATTTCTGTTATGTGACTTCCAAAAACCATTCTGATGTTGTTGCTGGTAGAACCTTTGCAGATATTTCAGGCATTTTCACTTTTTTTTTTTTTTTTTTTTTTTTTTTTTTTTGACACAGCAATGTCTAAAGAAATCAATTTTATACAGAAGAAATACAGTAGTTTCAAAGGGTTCTGAAGTTATCAGTGTCAACCACAAGCATGCAATAACTGAGATCAATAATCCATTCAGGAACACTGAGAAACTAGTCAAGTGACTTCTGAAAACAAAAAGGAAGTATTATGAGATATACTGATCACTGTACAGATGCAAGGCCCTTCATTTTCAAAAGAAGTAGTAACAATTAATAAACTGTTAATTGTAAATATCTTGAATATCATTCAACTCATTCCATTCTAATGGAAGAGGTAAAGGTATCTTTAGATGAGTAGTTTCCATTTACTCTTACCTGGGGCCTTTCTACCGAACACATATATGAAAATGCATGAAAAGGTAGAATGAATTACTTACTGTAGAGTACTCAGTGTAGAGCAAATGACTCATTTTGGAATCAGAGATGCAGACCTGGCATGGAGCCAACTTTTTTTACCATTATCATATCCTTTTCTTCCCAAATTAAACTTAAATTTTTATGAAATGTAAGATGAAAATTCTCATGGAGTCTTTGACACCACGTTTTCTTCATGTGATCTGCTAATCACCAGTTGTACCAAGAGACCAACAGTTATGTTAAATGGCTATTGACTGGAAAACAGTGTCTTTGCTTTTAGGGTGTGTGTGTGTACACAAACACATAAAAGACAATTATATCACTATAATGCTGCAATAATGCTGCACTCTTATTTCTTCCAGATCTAAATAAAACATGATCAATATATAACTAACTTATGCTCTGTGGTCAATATATAGGTAACTTAGGTTGAGTACCTTTTGTTGAACTATTTTACTGAAGATTATGTAATTGAGAAATAATCACTTAAATTCAGATGTGATCTTGGTTATCAGTTTAAATTCTGAATAGATTATTTGAAAATGGAATTATTTAAATGGGAACAGGTATCCAAAGAAGGAGGATAGTTCTGAACAATTTATTGGTGGTTTGAAGCCATGAATAATTCAGGACCTATATATCTTTAAATGACATGCCATGAACTAGATTGCTACAAATTACAAGAGTATGAGAATGATATAATATCACGTAAATTTGATATTCATCTACAAAGGTTGGTTGTTTGTCAAGCTGTTTGTGGGTTTGCAGCTGACCTTTAAAAACTTGAGGATGAATCAAACTAATAGCCTGAACAATGAAAGTCTTTCAACAAGTGAGTATAATAAATCTCCCCATTTTGAGAGGGAGGCAAGTATAATATATAAAACTAGAGACAATCTTTAATAGACACACAGAACATAGGGAATTAATTCTGAATATAGAGAGATTAATTATAGCTATGGTCATGTTGAGAGTTGAAGATCTATGAATGCATTTGAGAATTCAAAATTCCATACCCTACTTTTAACGTTATGTTTGAAACAAATCGTCCTAAAAATTATCTTTGTGAAGCTGGGAGCTTGGAACTTCAATCCCTTTACCTTTCAAAACCATGTCTTAGTCATTATAATTACGCTGCAATGTAGGGAACTGCTAATTTGTGTGGTTCTAGTTGAATCACGAAGCAGGGAAATGGAGAAATAATGAAAAAATAGCACTACCCATTGTGAATTTTCGACAGCTGTTTTTTAGAGCTGTTTTAGGATGAAATGCAGGTTGTGAGATCTTTAGGACAAGGATGCTGTTTGTTTTGTTCATTGCAAAGCCAACATTAGCCAAGATTGACTCATGACAGGCTCTTCAACGCAAAGGTTAGGAAACACTGATCTTGAAGCTAGTGTTTGGACTTCTCCTGATATTGAGGCATTTCTATGTTTATATCATCAGCTTAAGGTAGTAGGATGCTTACTGTTGTTTTTAACCTCAGTAAACACTCTCACAACTGTTAACATTTCCATGTGGTATAATTTTGAATACCTATGAAATAGTTATAACAGTATGGCATAAGGAATGTTACTCCTCTAAGGAATAACAAGCTTTTAAACAACCCCCCCAAACCCAAACATTAACTAGGATTATTAAAAAATGAAAGACAATTGGCAGCTTAGAAGGTAGTCTTCCACTTTTAGTGCAAATGATAGAATTGATTTCTTTCTAGCTGCCAACTGAAGAATGTGTACTGTCTGTGCTTCTTACAAATGGTAATTTTTCTTGAGCAAGTTGCTTGCTTTTCTGCTGAAGTCCAGGATTGATTGTGATGGCAAGAAAAAGACAAAAGTACCTGTGTATATGATTCTGTGTGCATGGAGAAATGAATGCATTTAGAGTATCAACATGGAAAGTTAAATTTAGGCTTAACATCACATTACTAGCTGATGTGTTATCATACTTAATCCATCTGTGTCTGAACTGCAGGTTGCGTTTAGTGTTGTGCTTAGTTAAAATGATTGTGCTAAATCAAAACTCAATTTTCAATGAGGTACATCTAGCCAAACACCGAATATAATCATATTTAAATTGGGACTATAAAACAAAGTTTTTATGAAATGTGAAGCTAGGCAGAAATAATTTGGCTCTGTCTTTCAGAAACTCTGGCTATGAGCATTCTGAGCAAACATCGGTGAGTAAAGTTCTCCCTCGGCATTACAAAGTGTTTTCTTCCTATTCAAAATTGAACAGAGTTTGGTAGTATTTATGAACATAATGCTTTTCAGGCTTACTGGGACACCAATTATAAAATGAAACCATCTAAGCATTTAGCAAAGTGAGAGGATGTGTAGAGTGTAGGTGAAGCTCTGTAGCATGTGTGACCCTGCCTCCCCCATATGTAATAGGTACATGTATTTGTATGGTTTATTGTTGCTTAAATGGCTGTCAAATTACAAGAAGTGCTAAATTTAGTGTCTAGCTATAATATTTCAAAGGGGATTTTCCTGTCACCATGGAGATTTTCTTATCATGCAATACAGTTTAGTAACTGTAATGCTTTAATTTTAGACTGTCTGTCATGCAATACTGGACTACATTAATCTTTCAGTTAAATGAAAATGAATACGGTAAAGGGTTTGTTCACTTAAGATGGAAATTCACATAAAAAGGTGCATGTTGTGCTTACACCTGTGTACTACAACAAGCTTAGGAAGTCAGTATTATGTAGTAAATTATTACTCAGTGAGTATCACCTTGGATAAAGGTAAAGCAGCACAGGATACGAAATGCACAGAACATACATACAAGACACAACTTGAACTTTGTCTGAAGAGAATGGCAAAACAAGTAGTCATAACTGAAATATTTGTATAAACAGATTTTGTTGCCGCCTAAATGTACAGGCTCCCCTGAAACAGTTGTTCTCGTTGCTGCATAAGACTTGTGCTGGACAATGATATTTAGGTGGAGCACTGTGGGTCTATGGCTGTGCCTAGATCTTAATCTAGCTTCCCTTTCCATCTCATGGAGCTGTTCTGTCAAAACTACTGAGGGGGTTAGAATAAGCACAACTATTGGCTGTTCAGGTTAACCAAGCAGGCTGTCATGCCTTGCACAAAGTATGGAAGATACAGGACAAAGTTTCATACTAGCTATGCCATTAACTAGTGTTGGCCACAATATTTGACTGACATGGTGCCCATTCCAGAAGTTTTTTCTGGGATTATTCAAAAGACAGCAAATATTTTGGGAAGTAAGAACTGTGTGAATTTTGCTGACATACGAGTGATTGTTTACTACACTGACATTTGGTTTTACAGAAAGTAAAAAGTACTTCAGATTTTCTGCTGGAGTGTAGGAATGCTATTATAAATGTTTTGTATATGGATGCAACATGTCTCTTATTCAGGAAACAAATTGTTCTTAGGTAACTAAGTGTCTCCAGTGGAAACAATGTGGCTTTTAAAAAGAAAGCTGGCATAATGTTCCAATGAGCTGAATTTTCAGTTATTTTTTTCCATCTGTAACCCAACACTGTCCATCTTTTTTTGCTCAACTATTGCTTCATCTTAAACACTTCAGTTCAAAACCCTGTGCTTTCACCACTTGTGTTGCAT